TACCGCAGCGGCGGCAGCAGCGGCCCTGACTCCGCCTCTGTCTGCATCTCTCTCTCACCCACGTCTTCTCACATGCGCAGTGCTTCCAGCTTCACTTCGCACTGTGTGTGTGCGGCACCGCGCGTGTCGACCGCCAGCCGTCTCACTGGTGTCTCACAGCTGTCTCACGCGGGTGTCTCGCGAGTGTCTCACATGCAGCTCAGAGCTGTCTCACTGTCGTTCCTCGGGTGTCTCACAAGTGTCTCATTGGTGTCTCACGGGTGTCTCACAAATGTCTCACTTGTGTCGTACGGGTTATCTCCCATGCGACTGGGATACCGCGTGTATGGCTTCTACTTCACTCCTGTATCCGCGCCTGGCTGCATGTACCGCTCTACCAGCTATACCCCTACATACACACACACACGCGCGCGCGTTCGGCACGCGGAGGCAGCAGCGGCACTGCTGCGTGCGCAGACGACGACGACTACGAGTGAATCACTGAAGCCTACTGCGCAATTACGCGCGTGTGTCTCACAAGCAATTGAGTGTGAGTGTGCATGTGCGTGTGCGTGCGTGCGTGCGTGCGTGCGTGTGCGCACGTCTCCTTATAATTCAGCCGATCAACAAATGAGTGGTCGCTGTTATCGGCTGTGCGGCATCGCTGGGGCTGATCTGGAGTGATAGGGGGCATCAATAAGACACTGCCGCTGCCGCCTACCACCACCACCCACACACACCCCCGTACACACTGATTACTGCCCCGCCGCTCGTATCGATTTTTGGCGCGGGTCGTACCATTCCTTTATATCGGGGGTGGGGGAGAGGGAGGGGCATTCACTTCTGGTGCCTCTACCGTAGGCGCGGTCGTTCTGTTAAGGTGCATCATAACAAAATGGCTAACACCATAAAATACCTCGTGAGTGTCGTGTAGATGTAAGTCGGATGTTAGTCGATGTAAAACTCTTGCCCGACTGGTGCCTGTGCTCTAGATTGTGCTGGCAATTGCGCTTCTCTGTGCTACGAATAGTGACGATATTAAAGTAACAGTTGGCAGTTGCCAGAGCCACACACACGCACACCCGCGCGCGCACACACAAACACACGCACACACGCGAGCGCACACGCACACACACGCACGCACACGCGCGCACACACAAACAAACACACGTACACGCACGCACACGCGCGCACACACACGCACGCCACACACACATACACACACACACACACACACACACACACACACACACACATACACGCGCGCGCGCACCCACGACAACATCACACAGCACACACACACACATCCGCTGAAGTGGTATTTTTCACTGTGTTTGTTTTGCTTAAAACGCGTGTTTGAGAAACTCTTTATCTTTGATGGGCTTAAGTGAATGCGGTCAGTCACCTTATTACATTTACATTACATTACATTACATTCCTTTACATTACACACACACCCACATACGCACGCACGCGCACGCACGAACGCACGCACGCTCGCACGCACGCACACACACACTCGCGCGCGCACGCACGCACGAACACACACACACACGCACGCACGCACGCAAAGCTACATGTTTGATTTATTTAGTAATTATTTGTATTGTACGCGTTGTTAATTTTAGAATCCATCAATCAATCAATCAATCAATCAATCAATCAATCAATCAATCAATCAATCAATCAATCAATCAATCATTCATTCAATCAATCAATTAATCAATCAATCAATGACGATGATCAGATTTATGTAGCGAGACAAGATGTACGAAGGTTCCATGGTTTGAACCTTAACACCTAGTATACATCCACCGCGGTAGGGAGGGTGGGTGCAGGGCCGTAGCTAGCGGGGGAGGTGGGGGAGGGGAACATGTCCCCAGAGCAATGAAGGTACTATTACATGGCCAATGGTCAGTGGCGAATTGCCCACAATCAACTGCCCAGAACAAAGCCCGCGCGTGGATTTGCTCCCCCCACACACACAAACTGAGTTAGCTATGGCTCTAGGGTGTGTGTGATTCTCAGTATTTGCACATTATATGCCCCTATGCTACAGTATAGCGAGGGAGTGTGCTAGGGTAATGGGGGCGACGCAGATGCCTTCTATCTATTATTGTGATCCGCTTGGTTGACATTTGACCTCACACAGACTCTTGCGCTCTGTTGCCTAAAACTGTGAGCCTCCTTTAAACAGAAACGTGCTTGAAATTCAGAAAGAAAAAAAATAAATGTCTAGATACAAAAACCGAGTAACCCTGCGATCATCACTGCAATTCGCTTGTTTCCTACAGGCCCGCCATCTCACGGCGCGCAAGCCCTTATCATGCATATCGAGGAGGAGGTGGAACCTGCCGCCGAGAGAGGGCGCTCCGGCGACGACTCGCCCGACCTTCCCGAGGACGACCTTGACCTGCAGCGGGAGGAGGCCGACGCATTCGTTCGTTCCTTCTTTCCGGAGACGTGGCTCTTTAAAGATCTAACGCTACCGTAAGTACCGAAATGCACCGGGAGCGTCACGCGAAGACAGCCCCTTTCAGTGGGACGCAGTCTACCCCGGAAAAAAACGTCGGGAAAATTCCGCGAGAACGTCCCCTGGATAACCTTGAAACTAACATCGTTCGCGACAAGATATGATTACGATGTTGGCGCGAGTGACGTGACGGCACTGAGCTTGGAAAATAAATCTCATTCGGTCAGAACAGTAAACCCCCCTCCCCAACTTCGGGATTTAGACCGTTTCGAAGTCGTTCAAATTCGATAACTATAACTAATCGGATTTAGTTATATACGCACTTGGCCGCTGGGAAATAAGTTTCGAAATGTGATGGTAAATGCAAGGCAAAGGTCGGATTGAAGACGGTGTTAGCGTTGATGAAAAACAGCAATAGTTACATAGATGTGTGGGCGGTGTTGGTCATGCAGCAAGAAGCGAATCTTGTACTGACAATATTCATCTAGACAAACATGTAGTATATAGCACACGACGTATAGCAAATAGAATTTGAATATCGGTTTTAGCATTTAGAATATAGCATATAGCATGTAGTATATAGCATATAGCATATATATGGCATATAGCATATAACATATAACATATAACATATAACATATAACATATAACATATAACATATAACATATAGCATATGGCATATAGCATATAGCATATAGCATATAGCATATAGTATATAGGATATAGAATATAGCAAATGGCATATATCATAATAACGATCTACACGTTGAGGTATTGGCAGTGATGTGCGGATGTCGTGGTGCATCGCACGTGATTGATATATGCCATCAGCAGCCGCATTCATCGGAATAAACTCCACGTCACGTGTCGTAGCTCGTGTTCTATCAGCCGACGTTCGGCAGCCGACGTCAGTCCGCTTTTCTATCGTCGGCGAACAAATGTCGTGATCGGGAATAATTGTGTTTGTCCGGTCGTCGGCGCCACCTGCGTCCATTCACGTGCAGCCGACGAGAATAAGGCGAGATTAACTTCGAAGTTAGGCTGCAGAGGTTTAGTGGTTTGAGTTGTCTGAGAACCTACGACTGTGGGGGGAAATGGGGGAGTGTGTGCGGAGAGTTTCGCTGGACACTGCCGACTCCCTGTCAGCATGAGCACGTAAATTATGTGTACAGTTTATGGGCTGTTGATATCAGATGCGTGATGAGTAGGGCGTGTTGGGACGGGGATAGGGCGGGGGTATTCAGTTGCCCACAGGCCATGGCAGCGATAGCGCAGCCTCGCTATCTTTACTAGTTTTTCACAACTATATAAGTAAGATGTATGCAAGTAGTTAGCCGCTAACTACTACTACGACGACTTCTTCTTCGTTATCATCTGCTTCTTCTTCTTCTTCTTCTTCTTCTTCTTCTTTTTTTTCTTCTTCTTCTTCTTCTTCTTCTTCTTCTTCTTCTTCTTCTTCTTCTTCTTCTTTTTCTTCTTCTTCTTCTTCTTCTTCTTCTTCTACTACTACTACTACTACTCCCTGTCAGCAAGAGCACGTAAATTATATGTACAGTTTATGGGCTGTTGATATAAGCTAGTGTGGTGGGTGGGGAGTGTTGGGGCGGTGGTGGGGCGGGGAAAGACGGTTACCCACAGGACCTGGCAGCGCAGCATCGATGTTTTCACTCGTTTTTCACAACTATATAAGATGTATGTAAGTAGTTAGTTACTACTACTACTGCCACTATCACTACCACTACTACTACTACTACTACTACTACTACTACTACTACTACTACTACTACTACTACTACTACTACTACTACTA